CTGGCATCTGGATATTGGCCACATGATGCAGCAGCACCTCCAAACGTGACCCTGTAGGGGGCAGCACACAGGTCTCCTTCAGCTCCATGCTGAACCGGGTCACAGTGATGAGCTGGTAGAAGGTACTGCTTTCTTTTTGAAGGCTATTTCTCAGGAAGTATTCCCAAATCAGGAAGGTGTTAATTATTCCAAAAAACAAGTTACTGATATTCTATACCAGTGTTTCCCAACCTAGTCCTCGGAGACCCGCAGACAGTCCACGTTTTTGCTCCCTCCCAGCTCCCAAAAATGTGGACTGTCTGGCAGAGAGCTGGGAGAGAGCAAAAACGTGGGCCGTCCATAGGTCCCCGAGGACCGGGTTGGGAAACACCATTCTATACTGTACAACAGGGGTGTCAAACTCCAGTCCTGCAGGGCCGGAGCCCTGTGTAGCTTAGTTCTTTCGCTGTTCCACCACAAATGATTGAGATCAAGAGCTGTGTGGCAATTAGCACAAGGAGTTGAATCAGGTGTGTTAAAGGAGGGTAAACCAAAGACTGTGCAGGGCTCCGGCCCCCCCAGGACTGGAGTTTGACACCCGTGCTGTAGAAGGTTTCTAGGCTGCAACAAGCAGTTATGGATTCAATGCAGCATCATTAATATTCAAAATATTGGCCTGATTTATAGTATATGCTGTTAGTTATGTAAGTGCATGAGTTCATGAAGAGGGAAAAGGTCAAAAAGTTCTCCCGAAAAAAAAAAAAAAAAACACATACCATGCACCAAAAGTCGAAAAGTCACAACATCTCGCTGACTGAGGAAAGTTCTAGAAAGAGAAAGTAATGAAGCCAAAGTGTCTTCTCAGAGGCATTCAGGCTCAATTCGTGGGCATCCCAATGTCTTTTTAACCCACATAATTTATTTCTATGAAAAACGGGAGCAATTCACTGAGGTTACAAGGAACCTGCAGACACACTGCAAACACTCTTAAAGGAGACCAATGAGCTTCCTTTCATGTGCTCTACGATATTCTGAAGCTACCCGTGGAGGTGCTGCACAGCGGACCACATCACGTCACCTACACTCATTACCGGGGGAGTTTCTGGAGGGAGGGAGTCATCGGGACCACGCCGCTGACACCAACGGTCAAACCTGAAAAGGATATTTGCACTGTACTGTGCTAAAGTCCTAGGGAGTCGAAAAAATGGTTAAAGCTATTGATCTGGGTAGTAACTGTATATTTGCTCAGAAATTTTTTTTTTTTTTACATTGTTAACAATTAGAACATATAACAATTAACAAATAGAACATAGGTAAATGAAGAGTATTAATAAAAAACTAACAAGAATGTCTTCTGTTTTCCAAATAGCTGTTGGATGGTTAGATGAGCACCGCTTCAGGCCCAAACCTCTCCTCAGGGGCACTCCAGCTGTTCCATCTATTTGCTAAATTATACTACCAGCTCCCTTAATTAATTACATTGGTTTAAAATCAATGAGGTATCGATTAGCAATACAATGTGTTTACATGACTGCTGCAAATACGCGGAGGTTTCGAAATGTATAACACACTTTGACAGGCTTACTATACTTTTACACCAACATAAAGATCATTTAAGCATCATTTTCTTATACATACAAGCCGTGACAAAGTATTTGCCCCCTGCCTCATTCCATATGTTTTAGCTTAATTCTTTCTGATCTCCAAACAAGTTTTGTATAATACAAAGGACAACCTGAGTAAACACAACACAGTTTTTAAATGAGGATTTGATTCAATGAAGGAAAGTAATTAACCAACACCCATAATCATCCATGTGTCAAAGTAATTGCCCCCTAAACTTAAAACTTGGTTTTGTGCCACCTTTACCAGCAACAACTACAATCAAACGTTTGCGGTAAGAGAAGATCAGCATCGCTGTGTAGTAATTTTGGCCCATAATTCTCTTCAGAATTGTTTTAATTCAGCCACATTGGAGGGTTTGACTATGAACTGCCCATTTAAAGTCCCACCAAAACATCTCACTAGGGTTCAAGTCAGGACTTTGACTAGGCCACTGCAAACGCTTACCTTTGTTTTTCTTCCTGCCATTCAGAGGTAGATTTGTTTTTGTGCTTTGGATTATTGTACCGCTGCATAACCCAATTGCGCTTGAGTAGGACGTTCTCCTTCAGGACGTTCTGGTACACGGCTGAATTCACGTGTCCCTCATTTACGGAAAGTCACCCAGGCCCCACAGCATCACGCTCCCGCCGCCATGTCTGACTGTGGCCATGATGTTCTCTGTGGGATCTATGTTAGCTTTACACCAGTTGTACCACGATCCATGTCTTCCAAATAGCTCCACGTTTGACTCATCGGGCCACAGAGAATTCTGCCAATGTTGGGGGTAATCTAGGTGTTTTTTAGTAAATGTTAGATGAGCCTTCATGTTCCTCGTTTAGTAGTGGATTTTACTTGCAGCTCTCGCATGGACTGGGCAAATCTGCCAGTGCTCCAAGTTTTTTTTTACATCTGGAGATGATGGCAATCACAGTGCTTCACTGGAGTCCAGTGGTTTTACAGAGTGCATTATAGCCATTTCTCAACTGCTATATTTCCATAACTTTCTTTCTCAGGTCTTCAGCAAGTTCTTTGAGGTACAGTGTGCTGCTTCTCGAGACCCCTTATGCAACCCCACGTTGCTGGAATGGTGCTATTTTAATGATGTGTAGGTGCTACAGGACTGGCAGCAATCCAGCCTGGGTGTGTCTAGTTAAAATTATTCCATTATCATTTAGATTTGGTTCATTGGTTGAATGACTAGAAAACTGCATTGCATTTTCTCAGGTTGCCCTTTGTATTATCTGAAATTTGTTTGGAGATCAGAAACAATTAAGTGTTATGAATAAGAAAAGAAAAAAAGATGCAATCAGCAAATACTTTGTCACGGCACTGCGCGCGCGCGTACACACACACACACACACACACACACACACACACACACACACGGTAGAGTGAGTCTTCTTTACAAGTAACACATGATTTGGAAAGCAGCTGCGTGGTCACCAGGCTTACGGGCTGAATAAAAACTGCTACCAAAAAAATTTCAAAATAAACATTTGCTGAATTTGGCCTTGGGATGAACGAGCCACTGCGACCAGTGAATCTGCAGCTCAAACATTCTGGGAGGATGCTGAGGTTTGAGTCCATTCACTGCACAGCGGGACAGACTGCGCCAGACTGACCACATGCTTGCTAGATTAAGGACAGCTCTATAAATAAACATCCGTGTGCTGTACTTTGCGATGCTCTGTAACTTTTCATTTCGATTTGCTGACTGAAATTACAGTTTTCAGTGACTACAGCGTAGAATTACAGTCGGCTGTTCCTCACACACACGTCCATTTCCACAAATGCAATGCGAAAACAAAATGTCTCGGGGGGAAAAAATAACAACAATCCGCTGATCTAGTATCAGTTACCACTTTTAACTCAGACAGGTTTATGGCGAACTGGTGTCTAATCCAGGTGCTTGGAGTACATGGGTAAGGTATACGGGTTTATAGCGGAGACAAAATCAATGATTCACTGGACCTGCACGTAAAAGTTCTAAGAGCATAGTGGAGTACAGCAAAACAAATCCCACACAAACGGAAACAGAACATTCCGGCAATAGAGTGTCTAAGTGATTGAATTGCAGCCTAACCGGGCTTGGTAGGTAGTGCTAGAATATCACCTCTCCTGGGTTGGAGGTTCGAATCCCACCCCCACTCTGTTTTGGGGAGTTTACACATTGCCCCCAAGTCAGGTGCGCTTCCGCCAAATACTTTAATTTCCTCCAGCAGCCAAAAACTTGCAGCCAAGTGATTTCCGGGCTGCCCTCCCCCCCCCCTTGCCCTGTATCTGGGATAAACTCTGCGATCCTGTCCGGAATGAGTGATCAGAAGGAGAATGCATGAAAGGCTGTGCTTTGAATGTGAGAACTTAAAATTAAAACAAACCTTTAGTAAGAAACACAAAATTCTGTTATAAGGATCCATACTATTTATGCTGCCATTGTGCCTCACAGCCAAATCAATGATGCATTTCAACTGCATTACTCCAGAGGGCGCTCTTCTCCTACTTTCAATTTGTATACTTTGCTGCATTTTTCCAGCTTTCATTGTACCTGCAAGTGACTGATGTACAAACCGGTTGCACTACTTCAAAATGCTTAACTCATTCGGCTGCAACTGGTGGTCTGCATCGTGGTTGTGTCTCGCCAAGGTTACATTTGAAAAGCTTCCACCAATCATTAAAAACTTTACTAATCTTTAGTTATGCACCACTAACATTAGCACTGGCAAGCATCACATTAACAAAACCCTCATTACATACAATTATAATGATAAGAAATATGAATGCTTTTAACCATTCAGTCTGAATCCAAAGCTATAAAGCAAAGAACCAGCTTTTGCAGAGGACTGTTCCAGATAAAGTGAACAGCTTGTAACTTTTCAAGTTTCACAGATTAACTTATCTCAAACTGCTTGAAACCAAGAACCACAATTTAATTCTATCGATATAGAAATGTTTTTAAAAAGCAAATAAGCTTAACTGATGAAGAGTTGGACAAAATTTATACAGATGATAAAGAATTATCAAATTCTAAGAGCTAAACACACAAAAAGAAAGACCCAGGAAGAAATCGGGGCTGCAGGATCACACTTTGTCCAGCAGGTTGTGCAATTGCCACACATTGGCTCTGACTTCATGACATATAGCGGTATATTTTGGAGATGACTGCATTTGTAACCAAATGAGGGTGAGCGTTCATTCATTTCCCACTGGGATTAACTGAGCAGTGGCTGACAGCATAAATATAAAGTACTCCACCCACCGCAGGTTTCAAAGCCACGTTTCTTATACAAATCGTGGAGTTTCTTTGCCACCATGTTAAATTCAGCCAGAAGGTGGCGGTAAAGTGCATATTACCGAGAAAGATTTAACAACACTGGTTTCTAAGGGGGGGTTGGAGGGGGAAAAAAAGTGATACTTACTGGGAAGCCAGGAAGGAACTTCTCCATGTCATTCAGGTCAATACCATCGTCATCATCGAATTTCCCTTTCATCATCCTAAAGCAAGAAAAAAAGGCATTCAGTAGACAAGAGTTCCTACGTGCATTTTCTAACCACGTATGCGACAGTAGGCCATGGAACCTATCCCAGGCACCTAAGGGCACACAGACCTGGACCAGAAACACCCTGGATGGGACAGCAGGCCACTGTAGGGCACTCATACATGCACATTTCAAGGAAGCCAATTCACCGCAGTACATGTGTTTGGTAGGGATGCATTAATACCATTTTTTCCAGACCAAATATGAGTACCAGTGCTCAGTTTCTGGCACTAACCGATACCAATGCCGATAATAATACCAATAAGTGCTAAAAAGCATAATGTGATATTTAAATTCAATCCAATATCAAATGTCTAACCTAGCACACACAAACACACAAACACTCACAAGCAAACAAACACACAAACGCTCACAAGCACACTCGCACATGGCATGAACCAGGACATTTTACTGTACTTTTTAGTTTTAGCTAGATAAAAATGTAAAGTACGAAAAAGCGATATGTGGGTAATTGATGAAACGCCAGGCATTAAAACGTCGTATTTTTAAAAACTCTTATTATAATGTAATAATAATGTAATTATTATTACATTATAATAATAATTTTAAAAAATACAGCATGTTGCATAAATAGTCTAAAGTAGTGCTTAACAAGGGTTTTCAATGTGTACCACCTCAGTAGGTATTACGCTCTCCACGCACCACCATTATGAAATGATTCTTCATCATTATGAACAATATACTGGGTAAGAGTTGGTTATTTTCACTGCATGAGGGTAATCGTTTGCGTTTGATATTTTCTCTCTCCATGCTAGTGGTTTGCTCACGGTTCATTTGCTTCAAAGTGCTGCTGGAGGCAATTTCATCGTACCCCTCAGTTTTTAGATGTTTAATTAGATTACTTGTGTTGTATGTACTTGTGTTGTATGTACTTGTGTTGTATGTACTTGTGTTGTATGTACTTGTGTTGTACCTTCTTTTGATATTTTAGTAGAGTACAGTTTGCAGCCCCAATATGCTTTCAGTTTTTGGCATTTTGAAGTACTTCTACACTACAGAAATTTTGTGTCCCCGTTTATTTTGTTTGTCAATGATATCGATAATACATCATCACGTGGTATCGGTTACAGGTATCACTGCATTGCCAGCAGGATGAGTATGAGTACATGAGCACTATATCGGATCTGATACCAATACTAGTCTTTGGACTGCAAGAGGAACCCCACAAAACACACAGAGGAATCACACACCAGACAAACAGAGTAGGGGCAGGATTCAAATCCAGGACGTGTGAGGCAACAGCATCACTGACATATCATGAGTACTATGAGTACTTCATCCTGAAGCCTCAGGAGGCAAAGGGAACGGACTCGACCCATAATGATGACAAAATTCAAAAACAATACCAATACTATTAATCCCAATGATAATGTAAATTTCTTTATGCGTGCATTCCATAATGTGCGTTGTGCATTTGTGCATAATGTGCATTTGTGCATAATGACTTGAGTGGGTTTCCTCTGCACGACACTCACCCTTCTCGGTCAAAGTGTGGGAGGGGCTTCGGCGTCCCCCTGAATGGCTTCCGGTGAAACTGCGAGATATCAAGCTTCTCTGGCTGAAGGTCCCAGGTCGCTCCTCTGCAAAGAACATGAAGAACACACTGCGAGGTTCGTTACACATTTCCCCAAGTCCTGAACTAAAGCAATAAGGAGGTGCCAGACTGGAGCTGAGTACTGAGTACTGAGTACCCGAGTCGTTATAAATGCTTATGCGAAAACTTACGGCTGAATTGTTAAAGAAAAACAAGCTAATATATAAACTTAGGCTAATAATATTCATGCAATTAGATAAGTGGGGGGAATAGTTAATCTGGTCACATTACTTTCAAAGAAGAAGAAGAAGAAATAATTCCTGGTAGATATGAACCAAATTCAGTTTCAAAACCAGTAAATCCAGTACAACAGAGAACAGAGCTAATGAATACTCAGGCACCCACAGATATAGCACCTCTCACTGGGATTATGTCTTTTTCCCTTCCATTCTTCACCAAGAAATTAAATTTAATCTGTTATTTGATCTGAAGATCATCATGTTAAAACGTAATTCCACGGATCCACCCACAATACTGATTATCAAGTATAGAGTGCATCATGGAGTGTGTAACTGTGTGTGTTTATTGTGACGGGGGTCACACAATCTGGCACATTGTACACTGACATTCAGCAAAGCTGTAGGAGGGAATTAATTTCCAGATAATTCACTCTGACTCCTGGCTGCTCTGCAACAGAGACAACAGGTGTGAGTCTTAGGAGCAACAAGTCACAGCTTAGCATACACTGCTTAGCGTAGGTACAGTGTAACAGACATAGAAGCATAGATATCAAGTCAGCAAAGGCCACTGTATTTGTACTATGTAACTGCGCAGGCAGGGAAACCTCCTTTAGCCGTTCCACTGACATGCCTTAGGCAGGGATTATTTATTTAGCAATGGTTTTATCCGGAGTGACATACATTTTGAAAAAGCAGGGACAGGCGCCTCTGGAGCAACTGGGGGTTAAATAGCCCAGTGGTGACATCACTCCAACCGCAGGATTTGAACCAGTGATCTTCTGATGACAGGGATAACATCCTAATCCCCTGGGCCACACGCCCCTCCCAGAGACCGATACAGGTGTCTGCTGCATATTAGCTACTGAAAACTGTCTATAGCACAATTTCTAATACTCTATAACACTAATAATCCTGAGGTTAGCGGAGTAAGCAGGAGAAGGAGACACAAGCACCTGCCTGCAATCCCAGCGACAAGAAAAGGTCTGTGCTGGTACTGAACTACAAAGGATGCAAAATGAAACTTCACACAGTACATCTGCAGCAGCTGTCTGACTGGAAAGTCCGATTTCTTGCAGCAGAACAACAGAGAATATATAGTAACTGCTGCTGGAACTGCAGCCCCCCCCAGGTCACCACCCCACCGCACTAGTGAATGCCTCTGGTGCACTAAGGGTGGTGTTTACCTACAGTGTCTGTCTGCACTATGGTGTATTGCGTTTATATTGCATTGTCTTGTGTTGTACTGTGTCTTACACAGATTCCTTGCGCATATACATAGAGTGTATACTGCTGTACAGCTGTTTCATGTACAGTTTGCATTTATTTAACGTACTGCACTGCTGATAGGAAACTCGTGACCCAAGATTTTCACTCACTAGTTCACTTGTTCTACTGATGTGACAATAAAGGTGATTTGATTTGAAATATCCACGGTGCTTCCGGCATATACTTTTCAGGAAACAATGAAAATGATGCTGAAAGTGACAACATCTCTTGTCACACAATTGCTGAACGCAGTCCAACACATACAAAATAAAAAATATACTCCTATACCTGAGTTACACAATATTAAACCGCAAAGGATCAGGCCCGGGCCTGGATCATAGGATCATATCCATGATACTCGTGGTCCATCAGTTTGCGAATGAAACACTGATGACATGCACAGGCATCTTACCCGTGAGAATCCAAAGTGTTGGCAGCCCAAATGTCAGTTCCCAGTATATCAAAGGAGCCCTCCCTGTTTCCATTCTGCAACAGACGGACGAGAGGCGTAAGAAATGGCAACGCAAAGAAATGAAGAGCTTAGAGTAACAGATGGCGGCATTCAAATACAAGTGACCTCCATGGAAATTTCCCCCGTTATTTAGGATCTTAAAAAATTCACCTCAATCAGTGGGTATGAAAATATTTTAGTTTGTTTTTTTGTTAAATTTAGTGACTATAACTACATATCATTTTTTTTGTGCTTTGCATTTGTGTCTGGCTAAAAAAATCGAAGTGGCCCAATTCATGCTGTGTGTGTGTCCGTGTGTTTGTGTGCCCGCGCGCCTGTGTCCGTGTGTTTGTGTGCCCGCGCGCCTGTGTCCGTGTGTTTGTGTGCCCGCGCGCCTGTGTCCATGTGTGTGTGTGCGTGCGCGCCTGTGTCCATGTGTGTGTGTGTGTGTGTGCGCGCGCCTGTGTCCATGTGTGTGTGTGCGCGCGCCTGTGTCCATGTGTGTGTGTGCGCGCGC